CTTTCTTTCTTTCTTTCTTTCTTTCTTTCTTTCTTTTGCAGCCAGAACTATGGCCCTGCCCATCTACTTCCCAGTTCCTATGGCAACCCGTTATTTGGTCAAGGGCTACTTCCCTGAGCCAGTAACCACGTTCTAGAACTCTGGAGCCCTGTCTAGTGCTTTGTGTAACTTTCTGTCTGTCTTGTAGTTCAAGCTATATACTCCATCAGTATCTCAGTAATTATGCCTGCTAGCACCTGAACCAGCCAGACTGCTACCTGCAGTGTAACCCATCTGGCCATCAAGATGAGCAAGAAAATTGCTGAGAGGATGTCCTATAGAGGGCTGGTCCATTGGAGGTCAGCTTCTGTCATTCTTTTTCTTAGATCAACCAGGGTGAGCAGCTGTGGCCAGGGAGGGGACTTCAGCCCAAAGCATAGGAATTTCTGTCTGTCTCTCTTTCTCCATGGCTCTCCTGTTTGGAGAGTAGTTTTCTAGGCACACAGATGTGGACATGGGTCTTGACGTGCCAAGATCGTTCAAGAGCAGCTTGACCTGAGCACACATTAGCATTAAACTCTCATCCTCCATACCTTGGTGCTTTATCTCCTCCAGACTCTAGTAACAAGCAGCTTTTTTTTTTTTTTTTTTTTTCTGTAGGACTCAGAAGCCATGGGCCCAAACCCGTGTACAAGTGTCTGGGTGAGTTGCTAGGCCTTGATCTCAGCTCCAGGAGGATAACTAGTGTCCTGAGACACCCTACATTAGAGGGTGGCCCAGGTATTGACCCATTTCCTCTCCTTATCAGCTCCTGAGCAACTCGGAGGACCATCATCTCCCCTCTAAAGCATAAGGATGCACTCATGATCTGCCTGACTCCCAGGATCACATGTGTGGTAGTGGACATTAGCCGGGATGACTCCAAGGTCCATTTCAGTTGTTAGTTCGTGGATGAAGTGGAGGTGCATACAACTCAGACACAGCTCCCAAAGGAGTGGTACAGCAGCCCCTTCTGTGTGGTTAGTGTCCTCCTCACTTTGCATCAGAGCTGGCTGGAGGGTAAGGAATTCAAGTACAAGACCAACAGCATGGCCCTCCCAGCCCCCACTGAGAAAACCATTTCCAAATCCAAAGATGGCAACAGGTGGGGTGGGCTGTGTGGAGTGTGATGGACATCCAGGCAGAGCTGGAGTAGACTGCCCTCCACCTTGACAGTGGCATATGTGCTGTTACCTGTCCTCACAGGTGGCTGGCCTTGTGCTGAAGCTTACACCATGCTTCCACCCCATAGGAACAGATAACTAAGAACAGGGTCGTCTGATACACACGGGGCACGTATGACTTCCACCTGTGGTGTAGCAATGGGAAATAAGATCAGAAACTATCAGAGCACCCATCTCATCCTGGGCTCCAACGAGCCCTTATTCCTCTACAGCAAGCTCCTGTGGACAAGAACAGGCAGCAGAAGGGAACTATTGACTCTGTGGCATAAGAGGCTCCACACAACTACCACACAGAGAAGACCCTCTCTTATTTCCCGGATAAGTGAATGCATCGCTCACCCTTGGCTCCTAGGGGACATTGACATCTGCCATTACCTAGAGCATCTAGGCCTACCTGGCCAGGTTGAAGTCATTTCTCACAGGGGAGGGGGATTGACCTTAACTAATTGCTTCTTCGGCCTTCTCTCCACCCGGCTGCTGCTCAACACTGTGGTGGGATCCCCTTTAGTAACCCCTCAAGAGAAGGAACACACTAACCCTGCTATGGCCAGCCTGTCCTTGTTCTCCTGCTGATCAGGTTTTCTTTTTATTCTGTTATCTTGCAGAGGCATGTCTAGCCATGTATATACAGACTGACCTTTAAACTTAACACACCCAACACAGTCAGCTCTGCCTGACTGCTGGGGCTAGGCTGTCTGCCTGGTGGGACATTGCCCATCCAGGGGACACTCAATCTTTGGCCTCACAGGGATTGAGGTTGCCTCAAGGGAGGAACTGTCCAGACACACGGATGTGGGGTTTAGACCCGTTAGAACCTGCCTGGTGACTACCACTCAGCCCACATGGCACTTGCCCAGATGTGTACAGTAATGTGCATGAGCACATACACAAGCCTTGCACACTCATGAACACCCTGCACAGCGCTCAGATCCATCAAGATATCAGGCCCTCTCTCAGGCTCCTCTTCAGCATTCACATATGGGTTGGCTGAGACAGACACAACCGCACCCTCACTAGCCCTACAACACACAGTCTCTCATGTCCATCTGTCCCTGGACCTTCAGGCCCACGCTTCCATTTCACAGAGATGACAGTCTGGCAGAGCTCCTTGTGGTAAGGCCCTTTGGAGAATCCCATCCATCTGGTAGGGACCTGTGGGAGCCGTGTTGCAGGCCCATGCACTGATCCTGGGGAGCTCATGGCCTCCAGGCCTCCGTCACTTTCACTGTGCTTATTCTTACGGTAACTCTTAGTGTTGCTTTGCCAGTTGGGATTGTGGCTGAGTTTACTGGGAACAAAAGCTGATGATTTTTCTAAAAGTTTCTACAAAGAAATTAAGCCTCTCAGCAGTCTATCACAGAAACCAGTTTCTCCGGTCGCCCCTGACTGCCTGTACGGTCATTCTGAGTAAGCAGGAGGAACTCACTAAGGTTAATGATTCCTGCTTACATAACTTTCCTAAAAAGGAGATAACTATATTCCAAAGAACTTAAGAACTTGGGAGACTGTTTCTTTCTCTTTTCCTTTTTTTAAATAAATATTTTTATTTTATAATTAATTTAATTTCACGTACCAGCCATGGATTCCCCTGTCCTCCCTCCTCCTACCCCCATGCTTCCCCCCCTCAATCCACCCCCAATTCCCACCTCCTCTAAAGCAAGGTCTCCCCTGGGGATTCAGCCCAGCCTGGTAGATTCAGTTGAGGCAGGTCCAGTCCCCTCCTTTTTTGTTTTTATTTATTCTTTTTTTGTTTTTTATTCATTTAACATACCAACCATAGATTTCCCCCTTCCATTCCTCCTCTGCCCCCTCCCCAGCCTCCTCCTACTGCCCCGCCCCACCTCCCATCCCCTTCTCCAAGGGGTAAGGCCTCCCATGGGGTGTCAGCAAAGCCGGGTGCTTTCAGTTGTGACTGGACCAGGGAGACGTTTTCTTAAAAGATGACATTAAAAACTTACAGGGACACATAGGAAAAGGCAAAGGATATAAAAGATCAGACATCTCTCTGGTGCCAGGACATGATGGTTAGATAATGCTTTCAGTTACAACTTCTGGTTTCCAAAAAGTACACATAGAAGCTGCCAGGGAGAAGAGAAACTTGGTCCCAGCAATTAAAGAGTTAGGTAAACATTACCATTTTGTGAATTTATGAAGGATAGGATTATAACTGTTGTCCACATAAAAGTGATACAGAAATTATTTAGAAATTGACTTTCAGTTGAAAATAATATCCTTGGTATGGCCTCATACACTCAGCTGATCACAAAAATGTAAAAGTATCGCATTGCTAAGGGCTAACCACAGGGTTTGAATCTCTCTTTTTTTTATAATCGTATGTTCGATGCCTGCTAGGGCACAGTATGAGTAAGACGTGTCTGGCTGGATAGAATCATTTGGCTTGCAATATAAAAATTAATGATGGGGTAAAGGTCAGTGATGTCAAGGGAGCGGGAAGAAGGAAAAATAACTGCAATGGGTAAAAGTTAACGATTCTGGGAAAATGATGAAAGAGAAATGTATTGAAACTGCTCATGCTTGAACGCATCAGAACTTGCATAAATAAAAACGGCTTGAGTTATTTGACGCCATCTGTTTAAAAGACACCGTGTGGTCAGACTCTTCATTTTTTTTTTTGCTAACCTTACAACTCTGTCCTGTGACTCAGAACCCTGCTGGAGCTGGACTCCGGCAATAATTCGCTCTCCACATGACTGAGGGGCCTGGTTTGCTCCCCAGTGTGGACCTTCTCTGCAGCCAGGTGTCACCAGGAACAGGCTCTGCCATCACTTCGGCTCTCTGGGCTTGGGAACAGGCAGAGAGGGTCAGAGGCCACAGGTCCTGACTCAGCCCAGACAGCCTCAGAACTGAGGGGTGGATCAGATAGGAAGGGCCCCTGTGTGTCTTGCCGAGGCCAGGACTTGAGCTGGAGCAGTTGGGGGGACTTGGGCTGCTGGACTAGAGAGGACAGAAAGCTGGCTGCAGGGAAGGTCGGCTGGCCCAGCCGGGCTGGCACTTTCTCCTGTGACTCCCAGCTGGCCCATCCGCCACACAGGGAATTGCCCCAGCCCCACCTTGTTGGGACAAACACTGACTGCCCCTCTCTGTCCGGAGCTAGAACTGGAAGACAACTGTGCTGAGGCCCAGGACGGGGAGCTGGACGAGCTCTGGACGACCATCACCGTCTTCATCAGCCTCTTCCTGCTCAGCGTGTGCTACGGCGCCTCTGTCACACTCTTCACGGTCGGCTACGTTGTCCCTGCCCGGTTTCCCTTCTGTCTCCACACTGTTCCATTCATCTCACCCAGAGTTGCGTGCTCTCCTATGCTGTTTACCCTGCCGTTCCCACCCTGTCCTCACAAGATCCCACATCACCCTCATGCCACCATAGTACCGTCACCATGCTGCCTTCGTAGCATCTCCATATTGTCCCCATATTGTCCCTTATAATTCCCTAGAGCAGTGGTTCTCAACCTGTGGGTCACCCCCCCAGGGTGGTGGTGGTGGTGTCGTCACATATCAGATATCCTGTGTATCAGATACATTGCGATTCATAACAGTAGCAAAATCACAATTATGAAGTAGCAATGAAGTAGTTTTTTTGGTTGGGAGGTCACCACAACACGAGGAACTGTATTAAGGGGTTGCAGGATTAGAAAGGTTGAGAACCGCTGCCCTACAGGGTCCCATGCTAGTTCCCTAGTTTTCCTTTTGTGTCCCACAGTTTCACTCTTGCTATCCCATGCTGTCTTGGACACTCACATGTCGTCCTCTTGATGTCTCCACCATGTGCTCACACCTCCCTATTGTTTCATCCTGCGGATGCTGTCTGTCCTCCAAGTGGTTCTGTCTTCATACTCTGCCCACATCCTGCCCTCACGACTGGCCTTTGTTACACCACGATGTTCCTTTGCTGTGCCTCATTCTATCCCCATACTCCCACCTCTAACTTCTCCCTGGTCCCCATACCATCTGCCAGGCTCCTGCGTAACAGGAGCTATCTCTGGTTAATTCACAGCATTCAAGGGTCCTCAGCATGGGCTTGGTCCATCTCATACACCCCACCCAACAGGTGAAGTGGATCTTTTCTATGGTGATGGAAAGGAAACAGATGATCATTTCCAATTATAGGAACATGACTGGCAGATGGTTTAGGGCTTTTTGAGGGGCTAAGGACCTGCCAAGCCATTTAAAATCTCATCCATTCTGCTTATCTGTGTGATACTTAGGCCACACTGCCTTCTGGACTCAGTGCCCTCTGATATTATAACTCTCCGGCATCTTCTTCATGCAACAATCATAGATGTCCATATTCCCATGAAACATGAGCTTTGGGAACAGGAACACCCCCAGTTCCATGTCTGTGACTCTATACAACTCTCGGTCACTTATAAAGTCACACCAGGTCCCTGACCCCTAATGAATCTTCTGACCAGGGTCATATGTGGATTAGGGACTAGGTGGACATTCAAGATAGGGTATGACTCAGGCCAATCATGTTCCAGAAAGAATCTGTTCTTTGGACCTGAATCCCAGAGAGAACAAACACATTGCAGTAGAGAGAGAACTTAGAGGAGACAAGCCTGTGCTAGAAGGAGACTTCTCCAGGCAGCTCTTGTTACTACACTTTTCCCTGGTACACCTGACTCAGACAGACACCATCCAAATGCTGTTCCCACCTTGAAGCAAACTTGCAAACAAGCACAGTCCAGTCATCATGCCTGCCTGACACCACGCTGGGCTTTTTAATTTTTCAGAGTCTCAGAGATGAGTACCCACAGTTCTCCAGAGAAGCAGAGCAAGTGGCAGGTGATATATGGGTGATAGATAGAGGACAGATATAAACAGTGGATGATAGGCACAGAGGATGATGAAACGGAGATGATGTAGGTAGACAATAAAGGGAGGACAGACGATAGACATAAAAGACAGATGGATGATCCACAGAAATATAGCTCCAGCTCCAGAAGGATGGTCATATAGACAGATAGAGACCCAGATACAGATAGAATAGGGGATGGACTGAAGGCTTTTAAGAGGCTGGCCACACAGTTGGGCCTGAAGTGTGGATGGTAAGTTTGATATTCTTGGGGCAAGCCAGCAGGATGGAAACTGAGGCAGGAGCTGATGTAGTGAACTTGTGGCAAGATTCTTCCTTCTCTGATGAGACGGTTCATTTGACTGTTACCTTGACTGGATTAAGTGATGGCATTTCTCCGGAGGTGTCTGTGCAGGACTTCCCAGAGATGGTTAGATCTTGAGAGGTCTGAACTAACCAGTGGGTCAAGCTGTCGTGGATGGATTCAGAACATGATGGCATTATTGGGAGATGGTGATGGGAGGGGGAGGGCCTCGTGGAGGAAGTAGGTTACTTAGGGCATGCAGCTGGTACTATATTGAAGTGATCCATTTTCCTGTCCTGGGTTCTTGTCCACCACCCTACAAGAATGGATAGGGAAGACATTGAAGGGAAACTTTATTTGCTATGCAGGAGAAACAATTCAAATGCAAAGTGAAAGTTCTGAGACCCTTGGCAGCAGCAGAACACCTCCCAAGAGAAGCTGGAGTTCCTGCCAAGCTTCAGGGTACCAACTGGGAGACTCTCAGAAAGGGCTACAGAGCAAAAGCTCTCAGAGGGCTTTGGGGTACCTTCTTAGCAGCCCCTCCTTCCTGTCATAGATACACCAGATCTCTAAGGCTCTGTCTTTCTCTGTGTCCCAGCAGTGACCATCACCCTTCATTCTGACCAGTGAAGCCCCCAGTGCCTTCCATTGCAGGGCTCTAGTCTTTCCAGAGCATTGTCCGCCTCCCCGCAGGCTTCTCATGGAGGATCTCAACTTCAAATCCTGTCTGCTGACCCCAGCTCTGCGCGAGCCTCGCAGGTCGGTATAGTCCTTTCAAAGAATCCATTTGTCACAGCAGCCCATTGCAGAGAAGAAACTAAACCTCTCTAGGGTCACTTGGCCTGGAGTGCTGGGTCTGTGATACACCAGAGGCCTTGCCTTCTTTTCCAGTGCTCCCAGAACAGTCCTCTGAGCTTCACCCTCGGCAAGGGACTGGCAGTCTCTCTGCACCCTGGCATCATCTCTGGCACTACTTCTTCTCTTATGTGTCCGCTGTTATCGATCTGCTTCCCATTCTGGCTGCAGGGATTGGAGGGCAAAGGGCACAGCCTGGCCTCAGGAGAGCCAGATGAATGGATGAAGGAATCAACAAATGACTGAAAGAATGGGCCAGTGAGATGGCCTGGCAGGTAAGGATGCCAAGCTCCACGACTGGAGTCTGATATCTTGGATCCACA